GGGTATCTATTGTTCTCATTGTTACAAACAATGAGAACAATAGATACCCGTTTCCTGACTTACTGAACACCCTGTATAATAAAGTCATGGCTAATGATAGTTGTTCCGTCGTGATTTTGTGTTGAGGGCCAAGGCACGCACCACCGGTCTCGGTGGCGCTGTTGTCAACACCGATAACATCCTGCGTGTCCGTATTACGGACCAGTTGCTTTTGCACCACCATCGGCGCGGGCTGATGTAAGAATGTGTTTTTTATTGATTGTTGTTGTTACTTGGTTTGGTCAGTAACGGACATAACAAAATCATATACACAAACGGCACCTATTACATGTTTTTACCATTCACGGAACATAACTAGTTGCAAGGCAAGGCGGCTACAGGTCGGTTCATTTATATTTTTAATGTATTAAAAAAATATATGTACCCTTATTTGTTATTTTTTAACTACCCATTTTATAATTGGTTAATTAATTTAAATAAACCTAGATTAAGTATTACTTTGTCTTTTAATTTAGGTTTTTCTGTAAAAAAAACAGTGTTTGTTTTATATTAATGTAAAATTATAAAAGATTAATATACAGTCCAAAATATTGAGTTTTATTGTATTCCTTTTTTTTTATATTAGAATTAAAATCCAGCAGGTTTTAAATATTGTTGTAGTCAAAAACANCTCGCTATATATAATAAAGTCATGGCTAATGATAGTTTTATCGATATTATGAATACACGTGGTAAAATTAAATCGATACTTTGTGTTTCATTGAATAGTTATCCGATGAATGCTTTAAAACTAAGATTGTGATGTACTGTATAAAGGTATGAACNTTAAAACTAAGATTGTGATGTACTGTTTAAAGGTATGAAAATTTATATAGTTGATTTTAATAATGCTTCAGTATAATATGCTGTATTATTGACATTTAAATAAGGATATTCTATGCGGGCTCTTGAATTACGTTTTACAATATAGCATAAAAATATACAATTCATCGTCTAGACATTTGATAGTAGATAATTAAGTCATGGCACAATTGNCATTTGATAGTAGATAATTAAGTCGTCGTGGCACAATTATACAAGATATAGTATGTAAGGTAGTTGCTATTTTTAAAGTCTTAAAATTTGAGGAGCGCCGGCTGGAATTTTATTCCTATACATTTAAAGATAATTTATACAAAATTTGAGCTTTACACGACTTAACAGTTTTTGTATTACTAGACTAAAGTTTTCATCTTACGGAAAATATTATAATCACTAATATTTTACAGTAAGGAAAAAGTTTCTATTGTTCTCATTGTTCGTAACAATTGACCTGTTTTCTTACTTTTTGA